AGTGCAAGAGTATCGAGACTTGTATTGAGTCTTGTACTATTGCCTTTCTACGTGTAAACCGGCAGAACTAGAGTAAACTAGAGTACCAATATAAGTACAAGTCTGCCATTCCGTAGGCCAGGACACCTCGGAATTAACTTCCCACGGCCGAATCATAACCACAAAACTGCTTTGAAGAATCATTTGCTGCCATTTGCATTCGAGAAAGTCCTCCATGGTTCCCGCATCCCGCTTCGCGTGGAGAACGAAACGTGCAGGTTGCCAGATGTGACATTCCACGAGTCCGGCAACCCTGTCTACGATGCCAGAAGTAGCCGCTCTCTGCTCTGCCCATTTATCTGCTCTGATTCAATAAGCAGCTAGAGCCGACGATTAAATGAGGCGATTAACAGGCTGCGCATGCGCGTTGAACCGAGTCCTCCGGCTATGGCAACTGCAGACAGAGGGAATAAAAAAAAGTACAGTATGTGATAAACCGACCGCAATATCTATTTTCCGCTGTGTCTCATTGAAAATGGTAGGTACTAAAAAATGAGTGTCTTTGAGGGAATTGATAACGGAGGCAGAGCTGCAAGAGAACAGCGAAGAAGTGAATTTAAGAAAAAGGAAGCGACCGGGATCCGTATTTTTCTTTGTAGTGTTCTGTGGAACAAGCTGTAAGTCGATGCGGTACTGCATCTGCTGGGAGTCCCAATTCAGCAACTCGTGAAGCAGCAAGAAACCCGAAAGTCCTTTCTCGAGGTGCATCCATTAGAGGGAAAGGAGTCCCGCGATTTCGTCGAATCGGGTCATGCCGGGTCGAAGCCGTTCGACCGCCTACCTTGAGGACGCGGGAGTTGAGCGAGACGTGGAGGTTCTTCCGGGGGAGGTTCTTCCGGTGGAAGTTCTTCCGGTGGAGGTTCTTCCGGGAGAGGTTCTTCCGGTGGAGGTTCTTCCGGGGGAGGTTCTTCCGGTGGAGGTTCTTCCGGGGGAGGTTCTTCCGGTGGAGGACGGGTCTTACGAAGGCGTCGGCTGCGTTCTGTCTTCTTCCGTTCCGCGTCATCAGCGCTTGGACTTCGGCGAACCCTGGAATCAGATGGCCGCCTTTCCGAGAGGGAAAAGCTGTATTTGTGGAGTATATATCCTAGAGGGTCGTGAATTAATTCATAAGTTCTCTCGCATGATTAAAAGGGAAAGTAAATTAGAGTCAGCCCCTAACGTCTTCCGTCGATCTTTGATAGCAAAAAAGTCGGGCTGAAATTCCTTCCAGGAAGCTGATGCTCTTGAATTTCGTCCCTGACGTACCTGAAAACCTGCAAGAAGCTCTGCAGTCTTTAAAAGGCTCCTCCCCCCAAAGGGACTGGGCGTGTTCAGTCGTTGAATGCATTGATCACGATCACGATGTGCGATGATCATTATTGTCCTTTGACACTATTGATCCTCATACCTCCAGGTATGTGCCCTCGCCTTGAGGACGACGGAAATGATGACTTATGTTAATGGAATCGCGAAAGGCCGCATCTTCGTGAGTAACAGCCGACCGTTCGCGGTTGTTCTCATTTCCTCTCATTTCCATTTTTTTCCCTTGCGGTGGGCCTTGGTCTTTCCGTGGGCAACCAACACAGAACGACTGCAAAAATCTTGCAAGTTGCTTGGGAGATTTTTCAGCGATGTTTTTGGGACCGTGACAGAATCCATCGCGAGACAGAGAGCGAGATTTCAGAGAAACAGTTATTTTCGTTAATTTCAAGGTTCATGCAGTTCATTTACTCGCCAATACCAGATTTAAAATTATTGTGAAAAAATTCTAGTGAATATGTATTGACAAACACGTGCAAGGATTTTGCAACAGGAGTCCCTGAAAAAAAAAGACAGACAAAAGCTCCAAATTGTAAAATGAAGCCCGTTGGCTTCACATACATTATGCGAAAAGAAAAAAAATTCACCTGGTTGGGCAGCTCCATCAACGCCGACGCAAAGAGAGCTAAGCTCACCGAGCCTCCAGCTCCCATCGAGACGAGGATTCACCTCATTCCCTCCTCTTCACCTCCCCCCCCCTCCCTTTCACCTCCCCGCCGACGGAATGAAAGCAAGTGTCAGCGGCGACATCCTCGTCCGAATCGTCCTCGTGCATTCTCGGTCTTGGAGTTTGGTCTTTGGTTTATCCCAAAGTACCAATCCCAAACTAAGAAGTTTTGGAACGGCGAACCATACCGACCGGATATCGATAATTTATCCGCCATTTTATGGCCCACGTGATCATGCCATGGTCCGAAGAACTTGGATCTGATTGTTGAACCGATGGCTGAAATCCTTTGCTCTTTGGTTGGTATTTATTGCTGTAAAGGCTTTTGGTAAGCCTTTACAGCAATAAATAAATATAGCCATCGACAGAATCTAAAAAACATACAAGAATAATGTGTGAAATAAAAAAAACCTAAAGACCCTGTTACACTTGGCGAGTACTCGCTAGGGCCACTCGCTTAGTACTAGCGAGTACTCGCCTCAAGTTTGAAACCTTTCAAACTCGTAGCGAGTACTCGCCAAGTGTAGCAGGGCCTTTAGTTTTTAAAAATATTCGTGCAGCTGAATATCCTACGGTGAACGTATTTATGGGCCACCCTGTATAGTTTTTTGTTCAAAGGATTAAGCATGGAGTTCTTTTGCTTGCCGATATCGGATTCAATTCTAAAATTTTCGCCCCAATATAGCGGCAAAAAAAATTAGATTTAAGATAAATATCAAGAGAGATTGATCAGATGGAGCCAGCATATTTATCTGACACACGTGAGACAAAGCGCATTTCTTCCAAGGAGCGCATAATGGCATATTGTCATTTATGGGAGTTTCATTTATGGGAATTGAGAAAACGCCCATCGACTCATCCAATGACTTGAACGGGCCAACCAAACCGACGAAAGTGTCGAATGTGCCAAGACCATTCCTTGTGCTAAAAAGAAATTCCGATGAGACCCGATTTTGCAAGGCGGAGCGAGACGAGTGCCAAAAACGAGCGAATGTCACCTTAGGAATGACCACACTTACCCGTGAGGTTGCGATCTCGGTTACCCTTGCTATGCAAGGGTAACTGAGATCCCTTGCTCGGCAGGAATGAAATTCGAAAAAGGACTTGCTTTCAAATAATGAACGTGGAATTCGCTTTGCAAAAAATAAAATTATTTTATTCAGCGCTGCTGATCCCTCGGGAAGAGAGGAAAAGAAAAATGCCCAAAATCAAGTACTACAGGTGAAACGCGTGAAATCTCATATAAAATGCCTCTCAGTTGAAGCAGCGGAATCGGACAGTACTTCCTTCGTGGGATATCGTACTTGTAAGAGCCAAAAAGAAGCACTGGTCACATTCACCCAGTAAGACATTCTCCGCATTGTCATTCGAAATGACGTCATAAACTCTGCCTACGTCAATATAATATTTTTAAATATAAATATATAAATATTCATGATGAAATAGGTTCTTACTAAAGAGAAAGGTAGAACATTCACACGATCTCATTTTTCTCAGAGCTTTCTCCCTGCTCGGAACGAATCCCTCCATCACAATCAGACGATACGCGCATCACCTGATGGCACATGCATCACCTGATGGCACTTGCATCACCTGATGGCACATGCATCACCTGATGACTTCCCGTTCGGTCAGGCCTCCACGACTCTTTTCCTCGGCCAGGGCGACCTCCTCCTCCCGGCCTCCCCGATGAAGGCAGCCGCCCTCTCGCCCACCATGAGGGTCGGGGCCAGCGTGTTGCCCGACGTCACCTGCGGGAAGACGGAGGCGTCGGCCACGCGGAGTCGCTTCACGCCGTAGACCCTGGAAGGCATCAGCGATGCATTCGTGGGGTAATGCATTGCGTCATAAATATGCGGTCGCTTAATCGAGTCTAGTCGCTTTGCTCAAAAAAAAAAATAATAATAATAAATCGGCTTCTCATGGTCTGAGATGCTCAAAGGCCTCAGTCTCGAGATTTTCTGAAGATTCCCCCCCCCCCCCCCAAAAAAAAAAAAAAGACCAAGGTGTTCTTTAGCGAAATCTTTTTCTAAAGATCCCCCCCCCCCCCCCACAAAAAAAAAAAAAGACCAAGGTGTTCTTTAGCGAAATCCACCAATCGATCTTTTATTTCCTTGGTTATCAAACGAAATCCCCAACTTTATTCCTGTCCCGAGCGTCTTTGCTCAACGTCGTCACGGCAAAACTAGCAGAACAGAATTGGCCAGCGCACACATTTGAACATCCCTCAACAACTTCAGCGTAATGATACGGCTGGATCCCGAGATCCAATTTCGAAAGTGCGTTTAAAAACTCCAGAGCCTCCAACTCCCTCCCCCCCAACTCCACTTTGACCTTGACTTTGACCCAAACTCCAACCTTCGGAGGTCATCCTCCACGCTTCCATGCTTGCTCGGAGTCAGAACATCCCACACGGAGCAAGACGCCCTTGGATCCCTCCACCACCCTCCACCCTCCACCCTCCAGATCCCTCCACCGCTGGACCAGTTGCCCATCAGCTGCCGGTCTTTAAATTTCCACTTTCCGAGGCGTGTAAATATATTTTCCCGATATTTGCGGGGTCGGAAGCCGCGAAACCAAAGTCAAAACCATTTGCTCCCTGAGAGTAATTAACACTCGAACCGATTCCATTCGATTGGATGTCATCAGATTTAATGCGATTTTTCTTAAAGGGATTCTCAAACGTAATCAAATCAGTCAGCGGCGTAGAGAACGAGGGCAATCGGTTCACCCGTGCCGGATCGCCGGTCGAATCGAATCGCCTCGATCGGCCATCAAAATCCATCGAAGCGGAATCGCAAGCAATCGCGAAAATTCGCGGAAACCGCTCATCCAAGGAACCCGACCCATCGCCGTTAGCACCGCCGGCACCGTCATTAGCCATTAGACCATCGCTTCGGATCCAACGACTGTTCGACCAGAGAGCAGGAAACCATTTTCCGGCACCGAATTTGAACCCGAGCGGAACGAAGAATAAGTTTCCCGTCCGAATTCAGCCCGTGGAGACGCACCAAATGAAGCCAAAGCGATCTTGGAGTTTCCACTGGCGTCTAATCAGCTCTGAGGTAGCGTAAGTTAGCTTTTATGTCGTGTGGAATATAAATAATACCCAAGCAGCATGTTTATATTAATTTTACGTAAACTGAATGCAAATTTTTTGTCCATTGTATATTTATTGGATCGATATCTATTATCTGGAATACGTAAACGGTGACATAAAATTAACGTAATTTTTACGTAAAAATTGACCTTCCCGTTTACATCCCCAAAAGCATGTTTACATTCATTTTACGTAAAATTGATGTTAATTTTCCCCTAAAATTCATGCGTGTTTAACGAGCTAATTCCTAGTTTTGAAAGGAACTGATCAGCTGTATTTCTTCCATCCTTTCCATACTTAGGAACTCAAGGTTATTTGGACGAGTGCATGAGTACACAAGTACTCATTCTCACCAGCACTCAAGAGTACTAAGATGACTCACTAGTTCCTCCAGTACCAGGACCTCGGGGGGAGAAATAAATGTTTAGAGGAATTCTCTTCCATTTAGGATAGAGAAGGTATGGTACTTAAGAGCTGGGATTCTACTTATCCTTAATCCCGTGCACTGCTGTAATAACAAGCTTAGCTTCAGTATTTAATGATTCCCTGAGTCATATATTGTTTAGAATATGTAATAATTTCCTGCTTTTCATATATATATTTATGGATTGCATAATAAAAAGTGGACGGATGGTAAGAAAACCTGATACTATATCGAGAAAGCCAGTACTTAATAACATTTGTAGGTGCAGGGAACAAGGGTTCCATCTAGTGAGGAATCTTGGTACTGCAACTGCGGGATGGTCAACTAAAGTTTCATATGGAAAGCGTGATGTCAACTTTGCATGAACTTGATATCATGTACTTCACGTCAGATGGAGTGACGTCTAGTTAACGTAAAATACACNGGATGGTCAACTAAAGTTTCATATGGAAAGCGTGATGTCAACTTTGCATGAACTTGATATCATGTACTTCACGTCAGATGGAGTGACGTCTAGTTAACGTAAAATACACGTACACTTTGGTGATGTAAATATAGGAACGTAAATTTTACGTAAACGTGATGTCATTTTCATGACAATCGCAAGAAATTTACATTGTTTGCAAAAAATTGATATGTTTACGTAAACATGTTGCTTGGGTATATATATATGTAAATATTTTAGTATTCGACGAAGCTCCTTTCCCAGCATAGACGTCACTTCTCAATTATTAAGTAAATTATTTAACACGAATAATTAAAATTTTTCGAAACGAAGCTCTTAATTACTACGCTAATCCCCAACATCATTTTTTCATTTATTTATTTGAATATTTTGTTTTGCTCTTTGAAAGCGCCGTCCCGAGAAACAAACCTGAGCTGAGGATCGACAACGGCGGTCGGATCATCAGCCGGCCCCATCTTCGCCGTCCCCACGTCATGAAACAGGTTGAAGGTCAGATACCGGGCATGGCACTCCCAATACTGGTCGGAGAAAACCCCCCGATCCCTGCAGTCCGGGAGGGAGTAGGGGAAGAACTGCGCTCCGTGCCTCCTGTACGCCTCGGTGTTCCCGATCTCCAGCGCTTTCTTGATACCTGCAATTTACGATTTTTTTTTTCCAGGCGTTCGTGAAGAATTATGAGAACCAGTTCCAATGGTTATCCCCTTTTTCACACGAATGTCTTAAGGCCTAATTCCCATCAACGCTTTTCTAACTTGTCGAGATTTGGACCTTAAAATTAAAATAATATCTTTGAGCTACCACAAGGTGCAAAATGTCGCAAGGGATGCAATAAAATTCCAAGGAGACGTTTGGACACTCGCCCTGGACGGTGAGGGCGACATCGACCGGATCCCTGAAGACGTTGGTGATGATCCTCGGCTGGTCGAGCGGGTCCGCGCTCCTCAGCGTCACTCGGCCTCGACTCCGAGGCCGAAGCAGATTGGGGACGATCGTGAACCCGTCGCGGAACGTGAGGGGCTTGAATATGCGGTATATCTGCGGGGCGAGAGGAGAGGCCGGAGCCGGATGATCGTGACCTGAGCAGACCGGTTCTTGCCAGTTTGGTGCTCGAAACAATTGTAATATGCAAAATTATGGCAAAGGCTTTCAATTGGGATTCCCCGTTGTTGAAGCTTCTCACTCGCGTACACTGCTGACAGCAGCCGATTGAATGCCTTATCTATCATTAAAAAAATAATAATAATTTAAGAATTAATATTTAAAAGGTAACTCTTGAAAGACTCTAAGACAAGCGCGGAAGGAACGCTTTTCGAGGGAAGAAAATGAAATTGGACGTCTAACGTCGAAAGGGGTCTTGGCCTGGGAACCTTTTATCCTAAAAGCCGACGCACCCTCTGGCTTCTAAAATGTGAACCTCGCGAGGACACGGGAGAACATCCAATGCGTGCGCAAGTGGATGTCTCTCGGCCTGTTCGTTCGATGCGATTCGACTCACTTTTCGTGCATCGATTTGATGCATTCTTCAGCCTGGGGCAAGAGCTGATGCGCGCCTCCAGAGCCGCCTCGTCTAACGTCAGCGACGTCCTTTTAGTGTTGTATTCTGAGGTGGAAGAGAAAAGAAAACTTGCGCCTTCGGTGGCGCAAGCTTTTGACTAGTTTTCTCTGCATTATCTCATCCCATGACCCAGAAACTTTGTTCGGTTTTCTTAAACGCAACTTTGGTTGTTCTGCCACGCTTCATCAGTACGATCAGTGACCGTTTCCGGCGATGACCAAGACCTTATTTGGTCCTTTGGAAATTGGAGTGCTAGACAAGTTTTCTCGCTGAATCGCAAACCCCTAAAACGCAATTTGTTTTCCTGGCACAAAAATACGAGGTATCAGTTCTCAATCCTATGGGCACCCTCACGAGGGTGTTCCTCCTCGGCGGACTCACCCTCGGGTCGATCCCGATCGCCCTCCTGAGAAGGCCCCCGTGCGTGGCGGGCGTGAAGGCGAAGAGCGTGAGGCACAGGTCCGGCCAATCGTCCGTGGCGTTCGAGCTCGGCAGGAATCCCATCCCTCCGTGGCCGCCCACTGCCGAGTATGGCCCTGGGGAATCATCAGCATCAACATCAGCATCATCAGCATCATCAATATCACACGTATTACAGGTATGCTGCACAAGATGTCACAGGGCTTTTTCCCCCTTTTTTATCTGCGAAAAAATAAATTTGGTTGAATTTTGAAATATGCCGTGTCTCGAGGAAAAGCTAGGCCGCTTTGGCTTGCGAATTCCGTCCGAGTAAATGTCGCCAGAAACTAATAGAATGAAGTGAGAGAGCGTTTGAGTTGTGCAAGAACAGCATGAGGGCATCTAGCCGCATGCAAACCCGTTCACGACTTCGTGGGGAACTGATTTCTGGCACGATCATTTTATCGGTTTCTCTCGATTTCTCGGAAGCCCGCTTCTTTTTTGGGGGGGTGGGGGGGAAATCCAACGGGACGACGGGAATCGCTTCGAACAGATGCCAAATTTGCTCAAATTTGCCATTTTCTCAATTTTGCCCTTTTGCAGATCGGCGAGCTGTAACTGTCACAGTTAACTGTAACTGTAACTGTCACAGGACAAAGGCGATTTCGCGACTGTGAAGGCCGTTTCACAACTGCGAAGGCCGTACCTTTTCCTGAGATGAACCACCGGAGGAACTCCAGAGGATTGAACGCGATGTCCCGGAAGAAATTGAAGCCCGAGAAGTCCCGGACCGTCCAGGTGAGCCCGTACACGCCGGTGTGTCCGTGCAGGTTCTCACCCACGGGCAGGTCCGCGATCAGAGGAATCTGCAGCATAAATGTCATATTTTCAGCATTCCCTTCGGTGGAAACGGAAACGGAAACAAATTTTTAAAATTCTTTTTAACTTTCACTAGCCAAAGATTAAAAAAATTGAAATTGATTCCAGCTTCGGGGAAATTATTATCGGGTTCCCTTGGTTGAGAAAAGGCGTTCGGAAAGGTCGCCTCTTTCTTTCGTACTAGTTCAATCGCGATGATCGCCAGGGCACAGCTTGTTTCGAAGCTCCTTTTTGGTAATAATAGTGTATTTTCAATCGATTTTTCCATTAAGCATTTTGCTTCAATGAGGCTTTAAAGAGAATATTTGCACTTCAATTCATCGAGCCAGTTGAAAAAAAAAAAAAAATTTTCGGCTCATCACTTCATGCTTAACTCTGGGCCAGGAAGTTTAATGCGCGCATGTAAAGAAATTTACTCAATCAACTTTCAAAAACTACATTCCAAACTCGGGCAAGATGCTAAGGCTCGCACCGCAGCGGTAGCCCGCAGTCGTCCCCAGTTGCCACGACACGTTGCCCCCGCCGAAAGAGACGGCGGCAACAGCGCCATCAAGACGGTTAATTAGTTCCAAGTCTCAATCGATTTTGAATCGGAATGTGTATGGAAACTGTTCATCTTTTGCTCTGTTCTACTTGAATCGAATAACTGGAGTGGATTTTTAAATATTTCCTGCTAATTATTTTAATATTTTATTTTTATTAATATGCAATCTCTCACTCTCCATGCAATCTCTGCTGGTAAATACATTGGGTTTCTTATTCCATTAGTTATATTGAAGTCCGATGACGGGAAGAAAAATCACTTTAATTATAAATGAAGCGTAAATATTTGTTCTTTTCTGGAGTTGGGGCAAAGTACAGGTTGAGAATCCCAGGTTCCGAGTGGGCGGGGGGGGGATGGAATGTACTTAAATTGTACCTTTTCCATCGCTGCCCTCTAGTCCACTTATGTAAACTTAGGTGGGGATAAAGTCCTCATTACATAAGCAGCAATCGATCGACACGCTTCTAAATGCAATGAAAGGGCGAAGAGCCTTACATCGTGCCTGGCGAGTTCCTCCTTGGGCCCGACGCCCGAGAGCATGAGGAGCTGCGGGGTGGCGATGGTCCCGGCGCTGAGGATCACCTCTCGCCTGGCTCGAATCGTCCTCTGCTGACCCAGCTTGTCTATAAACTTCACTCCTGTGGCTGTCTTCGTCCTCCTGTCGATCAGCACCTGTGTTATAATTATAATACTTTTTTTTAAAGATAAAAGTGAGACGAGAAGCTGGTTCCAGAAAGGGTCCTGAAACGAGCCAAACATTTATCCGAAGCTCGACGGCAACAGACGCGATTGGGGACACGGTTCAGATCTCGATGCGGCGAAAAAGAAGGCTTGTACGAAATATTTGAAGAAGGCCCTCCAGGTGAGAAAAAAATCACCTACAGACTGTTTACTTGTCATTAAGGATGCAAGAGAGGCTACGGTTAGCAAACATTTGTACACTTTGCCTCCAAAAACGACGAATAGTCGAATTATCTCACTGCGTACAAAGGGTAACCATAAAGATCTCGTCTAACCTAATCACTTAATGAAATTTAAGCGATTAGGAAGTGATCCAGCCTTCTGTATCTTTCATGGAATATCTGTCTCGGAATCCATGGGAGAGGCGCAGCTACCATCTGCTTGCACGAGAGCGGCGAAGAGGAAATAGAAATTGGAGTTAGATGCTGGACAGCTATTTTCAAAATCAGCAAGAAAATCGTGTGGCAGCTGGATCCAGCATGCTAGATTGAACAGAAACTATCCTTATTTTCGAGATTTCAGTGGAACAAGCGGTACAGCAGATGCAGTGCCGCATCTGCTTGAAGCACCGAGCAGTTTTGCCATCCGGTAATGGATTGCTGCTGCATCCGAATGCTGCACGGCAGGAGCATGAACAGCTGAGAACTGAAAGAAGGATACCTCCGGGTGCATCCAACGGGGAGAGGGAGTCACGTGACGCCGTTCGACCGCCTACCTTGAGGACGTGGGAGTTGAGCGAGACGTGGAGGTTCTTCCGGTGGAGGACGGGTCTTACGAAGGCGTCGGCTGCGCTCTGTCTTCTTCCGTTCTGCGTCATCATCACTTGGACTTCGGCGAACCCTGGAATCAGATTAAATCACCATCACAACGAGTGGAAAATTATGTTGTTTTTTTTCATGATCTAACTATATTGTAAATTTCTTTCTTCATAAGTTTCCGCACGTTAAACAGGCTAAAAAGCAATGGAGTCAGCACCCAAAAGGCCACCAGCTCAGTCTGAAAGGACTGGTTGTTTTCAATCATTGACATTCAATGGTAAGCAAACTACAGAAATCGAATTACGGCAATTTCACATGCAATAATTTAATTCATGTACAACTAATGGCAATTATTCGTTATTGAATAACAAGTCTGCAGTGAAATTAATGCCATTCAACTAAAGTGCTGACCCTGGTACATATCTGCCATTCCACTGACCTCGACACATATACCACTTCACTTCTCTCGTTCCGCCGTGTCATAGCCATTGAACTTTTATTAAATGCTGTTATTCGTAGGTCTATGTGAATAATGATGGCTCGAAAAGTCCTCGATGGTATGTGCGTCCGCGTCGCCTGGGGTTGGATGGAGAGTAAAACATGTAGAATGCCAAATGCGGAATTCGAGTTCGTCCGGCAATCCTGTCTACACTACCACGAGCAGCCGCTCCCTCCCTTTGCCTACTCTGGATCCGCCATCCGCGAGGGCTAGTAACGTACTGACAGTTTTAGTCGGCGACAGGCACCCCAACCCAGGGTTGGAAGGGGTGCGCGTGCGCATCGAACAGGGAGTAGCAATACTTCGGCTGCTATGGGAACTGTGGACAGACGGGATGAAAGAAAGAAAGAAAAAGTGACACACCGACCGCAATATCTGCCATTTTCCCATACGCCATTATGGGAATGGCAGATAATTACTGGAATTAGCCCATCGCTAGTGACAGTGAACTTCATCATCGCAGGGCCATGCCTCTTCTCACTGCAGGAAATGCGCGACCAGGTGTAATGGCCATCCTGTGATACGTGGGTATGTGCTGTCGCTCGAGTACGGCCTTGAGGGCGACTGAAATTATTTATATTGATCGATAGAAACGTGAAAGGCCGCAATAACCTCAACCTTGAGAGTAGCTGGTCATTTGTGGTTCCTTCACAAATTGCAAACGTCAATTGTAACTTGTAAATTGCTTGTGAGTATACTGTAATATTTTTCCGACCATGAGCCATCGCGAAACAAGAACATGAGATATCAGGAAAACTGTCATCTTTGATGCTTTCTATTCTATTTTGATCTAAAAACTATTCACAACCCTCTATTAGCCAAACTAATGACAAATATGAACAAGGATTTTACAATGGGATTCCATGAGAAAAGACAGGCAGCAAATCAAAGACAGGATTGCTGAATGAAGCCAGTTGCCCCGGCATACTCACATAATGAAATCTATAAGGAGCAATTATTTAGCGTTATTATCAATTTTTTTTTTCTCTCACCCAGATATGCCTGGTGTTCTATATGTATGACGGTGTGCGGGGATGTGCGTGAAAAAATCTCCCCAGTAGTTAACTGTCAATCAACAGATGGCACTAGTGACACACAACATCCAAGTGGTTCTTCAGTCCATGGCTAGCAACTTATCAAGCTGCGTCCATTCAAACAGCTGACCAAGACATGTCAAAGTTCATTGTATGAATCTCTGCAGCTGTCCTACATATGGAACACCTGGCATATATGGGTTAATGCGCTAACAATTTTAAGTGTTACCCGTTTGGTTGGCTCCATTGACGTCGACGAAAGGGTAGCCAAGCTCAGCGCCCGCAAGCCTCCAGCTCGCATCGAGACGAGGATTGTACGGCTGCCGCTTGAGCTTCACCTCCCCGCCGACGGAATGAAAGCGGATGTCAGCGGCGACATCCCCGTCGAGGTTGTCCTCGTGCAGCTTGAAGTAAGGGAGGACGCTGTCGTAGTCCCAGCCTTCGTTTCCCATCGCGGCCCAGTTGTCGTAGTCTCGCCTGTTCCCGCGGACGTAGAAGCCACCGCTCAGGATGCTGGTTCCTCCCAGGATCTTCCCTCGAATCCATTTGCATACCTAAAATGAATTTAATAAATATAAAATATATAATACATAAAGAGACTTCGCTTTGTGTTTCTGTAAACCATCAAAGATTTATCTAAAGGGAGTCGAGGGCAGAGTGTCAAGGACCGAATGGTGAAGGTTACGACGTAAACGATTCTGCTTTCCCACGCAAAGAAAATATCTCAATCAGGACCCAGGGCATACACTCCTGATTCGCATAGATCGGCAGGGGCTGCTCAGCGTCACCTGGCTCCACATTCTCATTGCTCCACATGAAAGTGTTCATGGTGGAATGGTGTCTCACCAATTCAACGCAGATTGATCCCCGACTGTGAATTCCCCGAAAGGCGAATCCTTGGACGTTGATGCAACAATACGATACAATGAGACCGGCGGTTAAGAATGAGAGATTTAACATAATGGATTTTTTTGTTTCCTCTGTCAAATTTCCCCGGCTTCATGCAGCATGGAACATGACAGCTGATGCATATCCGGGCGAGACCACCTATCGAGACTCGCATAAAAGAAGAAGGAGAATGAAAGAAAACAGAATGATTGCCGGATGATCCTCTCAGCCACCACAGATTACATCTGTTCATTTCCAGCTGTCCACCAAGATCTAAAGTGGGAGTTGATCTTAAAAAGTGAGTCGGCTTGGAAGCCGGTCATCACGTGGTTAGTGATTGAAGGGCGAACGTGAGAATTCGGAGGCCGTGAGAAGCGAAAAGGGAAAGGACCGTCTCATCTCTGGCACCGTTTCCGGTCTCCGCATTTCGGTCATCACGCTATGCATGAGGTGCGCGAACAGCTGGCTCGCGATCGGGGGCCTGGGAATGGAGTACTTCTCTGACTTCATCGAATAATTACTCGGAATCCGGTTGATTTTATTTACTGCCATCATTTGGCGCGGTAACATCCATGCAGCCGATAACTGGAATTTAGTGGTTTCGTGACCGCATTGCCGCATGGCATTCTCGCTCATACGCAGCATTGTTACATCCGTCGCACAGCGAAAGCCCTTGACCTTGACCTTTCTGCTTTTCTTTCTTGATATCCTACGCCCAGTCTTCAACTGTCTCTAATTTCTGGAGCGGAAGAAATGAGAAAACGAACTGTGCCTACTGCTCATCTCATATTGTGCTCATCTCATGCTCATCTCACCTTCTCTTCCAGTCCTTGGCAGCTGAACTTCTGCGCTTGAGGTCGATACTTCCAGTCGAAGGGGGTGTCGTAAAGGATACCCTGGAAGGCGGGGACTTGTCCGATCCCCGTTCCCTCCGAACCAGCCTCCAAGAGCAGGACGCTGTGGGCCCTGTCCTCCGACAGTCTGGATGCGACCACCGACCCCGCCGTCCCTGCTCCAACTGGCGAGAGGAAGAAATTCCTGTTTATCTCCTGGATGTGATTGAATGGTGGGTCGGTAGAACTCGACTCAGAGGTTTAAAAAAAAAACTGGGTTAATGTAACTAGAGGCTTCGTGGACGATTTGAATTTTAATGACTGAGATTTTGGGGTGAAACCAATTACGGAAATGTCCTATAGGAAACCTATAGACTTTCCTATAGGTTTTTGAAA